CACACCAGTGCACAAAACCACACTGCAATGGAGCTCTGTCTTCCTACAGCCCATTAATTCCCCGAAAACCCAGGAGCTGAGTTGCATTACTGTAGAAAGTTCTACTGTCAGTAGTTCCCCTTTATGGGGGTAAGAGAGAATCTGAAAAAAGCTGTTCACAAAAGCCATGCAAAGCATCAGCACTAAACCTGTCTTTGTCTTTCTCTCAGAGGAGGCTGCCCAGGATGTACCTCGGGACAATGACTCCTTTCTGCAGCCTGTCTTTTCCTCTCAGGGGAACAGATGCACACACATGCACACCTTTATGAGCAAGGATGGTCCCAGGCACAGCCCCATGAGCACACCCAAATACTGTGCTGGCTTTGCAACATGCCAAGAGGTGCAGTGGCTGCCTTCTTTCATCCTTATTATTTATATGTCTGCAGCAGGTGCTGCTCGTTGGCTGGCACTGGGCTCATTGCACTTCGTTGCCCAAGCCTATCGTAAAAGCTAAACTTGAGATGTCTGCTTATGAGGGTTGTTCCTTCTCCTTTCCAGGTTTGCCCTTCTTTTGAGGGGAGAGGGGGACAGTTTGGAGCCAATCTGTATAGCAGCACTTTAAGAAGGGGTTTCAGTGGTATTTCTGCTGGCTGTGCCCCGTTCCCGGGGTCTCCCCTGGCACAGATGTTCTGTGGCAGCCACAGCCCCTTGTCTCCCTCCTCTGTCAGAGCACACTGTGTGGGCTGCACATGGTAACCACAAAGGCTGCGGAGCAGTGTCACTGCTGGGCATGGTGATGTGCTGCCTTGGGACGCCCCAGCAGCGTGTTTGTCCTTCAAGGAAATGGCAAAGCTGCTGAAACTGAAATACAGTGTGATGATGGAGTGACCGAAACGAGAGGAGGGGTAAGCGTGCTCTGCGCTGCTCCTGACGAAGCAGCACACACCAGAGCAGGTGGGGGCTGGACGTGTGGAATTCAATGAGTTTTAAAGTTCCTTCAGGTTCTGGGACTTTGAAGGTCAGACTTTTTTTCGAGATGAATACTCCAGATTGAGGAAAGAATGGATGTTTCAGAGCTGTACAACTACTGTGGTTGGAAAGTTTGTGCATAGATACAGCAGTGGATACTGTAACTTGAAAGGATGACTTATTTTTAATATAACGGAAAAATAAGGGGCTGCAAGATCATTAATCTGCTGTGAGATTGTCTGCGCCAGGCACTGACAGCAGCACACTGCATTCCTCCTTATCTTATCTGTCTCTGTAGCCTCCTTGAGAGCATGTTTGACATCTATCATTGTTGCCTTGTGTCAAAGCTGAACCAATCTGCCTCAGATAGCATGTATATATGAGAATTTAGAGATCACTTCTGGAAAGCATGTGGAATCTCAGAAGGTGCCCAAGGGTTGAAGGCTTCCCACTGCCCCAGCACCACTGAGCACCGCAGCTGGGGGGAGCAGAGGCACACAGCTGGCAGAGCCCACTGCCTGCACCCAGCAGCCACACTCCACCATGCTCCAGAAGAGCTCTGGTCCACCTCCCTTGTGTGCTCTCCATGCCTTGGGAGCTGCAAGCCCTGCTGGGAATTCTCCATGTCTGCTTGGCTTTATTCCCAGATCAGGCTGTTTTGGTTTTGTTTTCATAAAATTGCCCATATTAAAACTGTATGTTTGATCTCTTGGTTTAAGTCTTCATCACCGCAGGAAAAGGAGCTCCTCATGTCTGGTGTCAGTGAGTTGCAGTTGTGGCAGCTGAAGAGCCACCTTCAGTGCGATACAATATTGGGCACATCCACTTCAATGACAGCAAACAAACATGGGGAGCTGTTTCCACATTCCCATACTGTTCTCAGAGTTCTCATCACTCATTTGGTCAAAAAACACTTTTGAAACATGTTGAAGCTACCCATGGCAGAGGTAGGAGGTGGTTCCTGCCTTCCTGTTCCCTCCTGGGCCATGAGCTGGCCCCAGGCCCCTGCAGGGATTGCTCTGCTGGTTGCTGTGCTGGGGGGACAGCTTGGGGGCCACCTGAAGTGACCCCATGGCTGCAGCTTTGAAGACATCAAAAAATATGAAAAGGAAAAAAAAGTCAAATGTTGTTCGAAGAGTCTGCTAAACTCAGTCTTGTTTAATACTAAGGAAGCACCCTCAACACCCACAGCTGCTCTTCTCAGAGCTGCGTGCAGAGCTGTGAAGGTGATGCTGCCATGGATGCAGCAGGACGGAGGCTTATGAGGAGGGGCATAAGGAACAGGAGGCTCACAGTGCAGAGCAATGCTCCCAGGGGCGCTCCTGGCCCATGCTGCAAATCAGCTGTGAGCCGACAGGGCCACACCATGGCAAGCAGGGCTGCACCCACTCCCTTGGTGGCAGCACACATGTGGTGGGGCATAAAGGAAGAAGGCCTGTGCCCATGCAAGGGTACAGCTCGAGGCTTCAGCAAGTGATGTGCACGTGGAGCATGGCTAATGCAGACAGGAATCCCTGCTGCAGATCTGCTCCAGCCTGGGCTGCCTGCAGACAGTCCTGAGCTGCTCAAAGGATGCTTTTTTGTCCGACTACAAATTTTTCTTCAACTCATTTGTCTCCCATTGAAAAAAAAAAATAAAAACAAACCAAGACACAACAACAGCTGAACAGGACTGTGGTAGGTCTGCAGATTTCTGTCAAAGAAGAGTTTACTTCCTGAGCAGCTCTCCCTGGGACACCACTGGAGTGCAGGAGCTGAGCACAGGCACCAAGGCTGCCACCGACCATCCTCCCCTCAGGGTGCTTTGGGCAGCGGTGATTGGGCTCACTGAGGGCTGCGTGCTCATCTCTTCTACCCACTCTGATTTCCACTGCTCTTCGGTGGCTGCAGATGCACTGTCCTGAGCATGTGCTTCTGCTGATGCACTCCTTGCTCTGCTGGGCACACGGGTGGCTGTGAGCAATGGGGGACATCAGGGGTCCCTGCAGCCCATGTCCCTCAGCCCGTGTCCCACCACCCACTCGCACAACAGCAGATACAGGCAGCATTGGCCAGGGCAGCACCTGCTGGGAAAAGGCAGCGCTGCTGGCGGCCCACCTACTTTGGGCTCTCTTAGCAGCCAACATCTGTTTGACTCTTCACTAAGCATCCAAATCCTATCTTTCTTCAGTGGGCCATCTTTGCCTGTTGGTATGATGCTATTCCTCTCCCCCTTGTTGTACGGGTGGAATGCCATTAAGCCATCCTCGCTGAAGCTGTCCTCTGTTGTTGGTCCAGCAGCAGACTGCTGATGACAGCGTGCAGCTGGCACACTCTGCTCCATAGACATTGTAGGTATTTTTGCAAAACCTGATTCACAACCTCAGCAAATCTGACCACAGTGACACACAGATTTCTAACTAATACTGAGCTGACAGGTGGAACTTACCTTGACAATTAATTAAAAGGACATAAAAAAACACCAGCAAGGGAAAAACAGCTCCACTATGTGCATGAAAGCTTGAAATTGAAGTCATCAAATAAGAGTAATAACACAGCATTAATGGGAAACGAAATCCTGAGAGCTGATACAGACTTTGCAGGAAGAATGTTGAGCTTGTTGTTTTATAAGGGCTAAAACATCTCTGCAGCCCAATGCAGAATGTCCAGAGGAGGAAAGCACCTCTCATTCCTTCCCTGAATTACATTGCACTCTGCTGGGCTGTCCTGCAGCCTGGGCTGCCATCTGCTTCCTGGGTGGAAAAGGCAGCGGTGCTGCAAGGCTGGGGAAGCACCTGCATCTGCAAGGTGTGAGCAGTTGTGAACAGTTTTTATCAAACATATTTTTGAAAACTGGTTTGTTTGGGGCTCCTCCTTTTCCAGAAAACCCAACTGCTCCGTTGTATGGGAACAGCTGAATCACAGCCTGAACCTCTGATTGATCACCTGGGGCGAGCACTGAGTCAGCCACAGGAGCACAGGTGAAGGCAATGCAGCTGTGCTGCTGGAAGGGGTGAAGCCTGGCTGCAGCTCTCCTAGGCCCATTTAAGAGCTGACTGCCAGTGGGGAAGGATCTCGTCTGGAGATCCACTCTACTGGAGTTTCCTATGTGAGCCCAGGATAGGGTGAGTGTCCTTTTCTGTTCTAGTATAATAATTACATAAGCCAAGCTCTTGAATATGCTAATCATCTGTATATTCATTGATTGTACATCCATGCATTACAGTCACCTGCTGTGGCTGTAATCCATATAAATTCAGGCTGAGGCTGTGTGCAGTGCCAGAAAAGCCTCAGACAACTCGAGCTGTGAGTCTAATTCCTGACCACGCTGCTGGGTGTCCCCTTAGCACACCCACACTGCCTTCCTGCAGGGTCCTGCCCCAACCATTGCCCCTGGCTCTGGAGGCCAGACCCGGTGTCTCCTGCACATCCCCAACCCCAGGGTGAGCCCTGTGCCTACTGCTCAACCCAGCAGCTTCACAGCCCAACCAAGGGCCTTCAACCTGCCCCAGACAGCCTCATACAGAGCGCACGGTGCTCTGGGGGCAGCTCAGGGCAACATGGGGAGATGTGGCTGTCCCTGTGTGACAGCTGCTGCTGTGACTGGTTGCTGTTGTGAGCCTTGGGAGGCATGGCAGGGCAGCAGAGCATGGGCAGCAACATCAGTGGCCCGCTGACAACGCACACAAACAGACCAGCTGTCCTGCAGAAGCCATGCTGAAGCTGGCTGATGAGTTGTGGTGTTTGCAGAAGTGACAATGATGTCTGGAAGCCATGTAAAACTCTTAGTGAGAGGGAAGGAAAGCAAAGCTCTCGATCCCGTTTGAAAAGCGAGATGTGATGGGAGCAGCCAGCAGTGCTGCACAGGACTGGCAGGGGCTGCAGTGCTATGGGTGGGAGGGCTGCAGCTCTCTGCTCAGCCCCCGCTGCCCCCAGGCTCCAACCCCACAGTACAGAGCATGGCTGGCACTGCAGGAGTGTGCGGTGCCAACGCCCGGCCGCAGCGGGCATCGCTGCCCCGAATCAGCCCAGTGCCAGCTCCGTTGTAGTAAAACATTTATTTGTTACAGTGATGTAAGCTACCATGGTTACAGTTTGTGAAGTCACCACTGGCAACGTTTGACACAAGTGGTACTGCAGCTGTTGCCACCCAAGTTTTCATTGTTAGTTTTATAAAAACCTCAGACACCAGAAAAAAAGGTATTTAGACTGAATGTGGCAGACGGAAGATGGGGAATCTGTGAGCTGGGAAGGAATGTTTGTCCGACACTGCCGACCTCCACAGCCTCCTGGCCTCAGCTGTGACTTGAAGAAATTGTCTGGGCAGTGTGAGGACGGTGTGGCATCAATCCTTGGTGCACTGGGATCGCTTTGTTTTCTGCCGCATAACCACGTTGGGGCAACTGCTTTCAGGGAGTGGAGCAGTGTGGGTGTCCTTCAGGTCAGCCCCAGCTTCTGTGCAAAGAGAGAACAGAGACAGTGAGGGTAACCCACAGTGCCCAGTGCCGTGCTGCAACCTCCAGACAGAATGACTGACACTGACAGACGGACGGAGGGACAGCAACACCCATGGCAAGGAATGGGAACATTCACTTCTCCAGAATTAGAGAACTCCCCACTCTCTAGATTTGCTCCTGACTTCCCGCAGGCAAAGCCCTTTTCTACGACAGTGTTTTCACCTCTTTGTGCAGTATTGGAAGTGGCACAGAGGTGAAACACCAACATGAAGCAGTGGATGGGCACGAGCCCAGCGTTGGTCCTTGCCAGGCTTACATGCAAGTGAAAAGTCACCATGCACAGAACGTGTAGCGTGTGCCCATCTGTCCCTGAGCAGCCACACTGTTGGTCTTGTCCCAAGGGAGTGTGGGGACCTGCAGCTCCACTGAGTGACTGCAGCCCTGCACCTCGCTGCTGCCGGCCCCGTGGCCCCAACTTACCTCTCAGCACTGGAAGCGAACCACAAAGTGTGGCCATGGCTTGCTGCAGGACACAGCTCTCCAGCTGTTTGCAGCCGCGCACCGGGGCCTGCAGGACTCCCTGCCCACCACCCTCTGCCCAAGTGAGCATGGGGAGAAGGGAGCTGCGCTGGAACCGTGATTCTTTTTCTCATTCTCCTGTCCAAATTGAATTCCTGTGCAAGATAGGCACATGCACACATCCCCATGATGCAGGGAGACCCAGGCAGCTCCAGGTCCCACGCTCCCCTGGGCTGCAGAGCTGCTCTGTGCTCAGAACGCGCTGCACTCAGCAGTTGCCTGTGTGGCTCCACAGTATCAGACGTGCTGTGGCAGCATTTCCACATCACTAACAGCCCCAGCAGCTCCCAGCAGGTGTGTGCACCCCATACACAGTGCACAGTGAACATTCTCCTTGCCTGCCTCACTCTGGGTACCAACGGAGGCAGAAGCAGAGGAACGCCACCACTCTCCATCTCAGCACCACTCCTGAGGGGCTCTGCAGGGCTCTGCAGGCCAGGGGGACCCAGAGGTGCCATCAGCCCTTCCCAGACGCTGGAAGTCCCGGGTCAGCACTGAGCCAGTACTGACCTGTCCCTGCCTGCAGACTGGTAACAATCACTGGTAACAATGAACTGATATCAGCTGTCAGCAATCTGAAGGCTGATACCAACCGAGAAACAACTTTGAATGACCTGGCAGATGTGGCTTGTTCCAGCATGACAGAGGCAGTAGAGCTCGTTCTGTTTATTTTCATACAGACAAAGCTTCAATCTCGTCTCTCTGCAGCCAACAATTTGCCACATTTGCTTTTTTCTTTTTTAGATTCTTTCCTTGCAAGCTAAGCTTCCTTTTTGCCACAGCATCAGCCTTCACGCCTGGCTCTTGTGAATAAATCAATGGCATTAGCACTATCAGCAAGATCAGAAAGCTCTGCCTTTTGGCTCACATTACTGATGCAAAGTGTGGGTGCTTTAACGCATTCCAGAACCCATACCCTGCACACTTGTGTCCCATCCATGCTGCCATGAAAGCAACGTCACAACCACATCCAAGCAGAGACAGAATACGGCACATTTGTTCTTATTTCCAGCGCTGCCTTTGTCCAACACTCAGAGCATGCATGCACAGTGCAGCACAGCTTGGCAGCAGGCCTAGAGCCACTGTCCCTGCCTGCCCTGCAGTGCTGCTGTTCCTGCGTGCCCTGGGGATGTGCCAGTGGTGACAGTGCTGCAGTGCAATACTTACCTGGGGCTGCCACTGTGGGTCCAGGCGCCCTGCACAGGTGAGGCAGCACAGCCACAGTGCTGATGCTCTTTTAGCAAAGCACTGATGCTCTGGCTGCTAACATTAGTTACATAGAGGAAAAGGGTTTCTGCGTACAGGAAGACCATTTTCCTTTAAAATGATGGTATGCAGCCACCTGCATCACACTGTGACAAAAGAGCACGCTTGTGCATCTGCACAGAGGGCAGGAGATGCTGCTGCAGCACTCAGCAAGTGCAGGGGCAGCTCAGTGCAATCCTTGTATCTGTGTCACAGCCAGTACTGAACTAAAAGGCATGCAGAAAAATGTCTTCAAAGAGAAAGCATTGGATGCATGGTTTCAGTAAGCAGGACCCTATTGATCTTGCTGTGATTTGTTGGTTTTTTTTTTTTCAAACCAGAACTTTGACCTACCTTAAAATTACTTCCTAAATTACCATGGGAGAGGCATTGTGTTACTCTGTTACAGCTGCTATTGTTCCTTTTAGAGAGTGAGCGCACATCACTTGTTACAACAGCACCTTAAAGGAACAGGACAGTACGTTTTCTTGAGATATTGTAAGTCTGACAAATGCTGCCACTCTGCAAGCAGTACCTCCAAGGCTCCAGTTTCTCCCAATTAGTGAGAAGCAGTAGTAAATGACAGCAGCTGTGACATTACTTCTGCTTGTTGGGTCAATCACTGAGGATAAACCCCCACTGCCTCTCTGCACAGTGCCTGCTGCAGCTCGGGGTGCATTTGCAGATGGTGCAGGAAGAGCCACGCTGTGCTTCTTCAAGGACACGTGAGCAGCATTTGCTGGCAGCAGTGGGACACGGGGACAGGCGGCTGCAGGACACACAGACACAGGGACAGCTGGCTGTGACAGAACTGTCATCCACCACAGCTTGGGCTGACGTGACTCAGAACTGCAACACACAGGCACAAGGTGGTGACCAGCAAAGTTCTGGTGTACTCTGAGAAATGCCAACATCTCTGTGCTGCACGGAGCAGAGCTCAGCCCCCAGCAGCTCCACAGGAAACCACTGGGCCCGGCGCTGGCACTGCTGCACACACGACTGCTGGAGGGGCTTCACCACAGGGGAATGGGAATGGGCCCTGCCATCACCTGCTGCTCCTGCAGGGCTCTGCGGGATGCGTCCCTATGGTGACACACAGCAAAGCCCCTGTGGGACAGCACTGCTCTGCAGCACTGGGGGCATCGCCCGCCCCACACTCGTCCCCATGCCCCAACACCTCTTTTGCTCATTACTGCAGATCTGCACTGGTGCTTGGGGAGAATTTTCCAGCAACCAGAGCACGTTGGCAGAAATAAAGCCACATTTGCACCCAGAACTGAACAGTACCATATATTCACCGTCAAGAACATGCCCAGAACATCAGCAGAAAGGCAGCACAGAGAACAACTAACACAACCAGCTTTTCACCCAACAAAACCCTGCTTCTCCATCCAAACATAACTTGAAGCAGCCCTCTTTAACAGAACGAGTGTGTTTTCAAAAAAGGGTTAGGAGTGGGTTTAAGAAATACGTTAAGAGAAAGCGTGTGTCAGAAATCTCAGTACAAATAAACAAATTTCTGAATTTTCTTCTCCTTGCCTGGTGCTTGTGAAACACAGAGACCCTCCCACAACCAAAGTGTTGGTGACCGTTTTCATAGAGCACGAGCAGCAGGGTGCTGGTCAGGATGCTGCACACTGCCTTGGGGTGCTGCATACGACATCAGGGTGCTGCACACTCACTCGTGCAGCCCAAAGGGGTTCATCTCAAGAACAGCAGCTCCTGGCTGCCCACTCCCCTCCCCAAGGCCTTCCCTGCATGACAGTACTGTGTGACCACAATGGGGTAAAGCCACATCTGGGATTCTTTCATGAGTGTTTTGGTTTCCAAAGAATTAGAAAACTTCCAGCACATCACTGAACAAATATTTCAGTGTCACTCTTCTGATCAAGAGATACCTTGGCACTTTTCTCTGCATCTATCTGCTACAGCTCTGGTTTTGCAGAACAGAAAGGACAGAAGATTTCCCCATTCCCAAGGCTTCCCGCACTTGGAATGAACCAGGCCTGAACATCCCGCTGTATGTTCACCCCTGTGGCGATGGCACAGAACCAACACCCCGTGCACACCCAGAGGACGCTCCTCTCCGATGTGAGCAGAGCCCTAAAGCCACCCAGGTCTGCAACGTTAGCGCAGAGTTAAACGAAACACGGTGACATATGGTCCTTCTAAGCTGCTTACACAAACGTACTGCAGACAGATTACTCAGCTTCAGCGTTTGGAAAATCGATTCCTTTGAGTAAGAAATGAAAAATATAAAAATAACCCCCCCGAAGCTATGAACAGTTCAGCACTTTCACAAGACATCAGACACGCGTCCAGTTTTAGACAACACACAAAGCATTTCCATTTGATGTTTCCAAAACGCACAATTAGGACAAGTACCTCAGCAGAGCACACGGAAAGGTGCCTCCTTACCCATCGTAAGGTGAAGGTACCGGCTGCAGAGATCCAGCTCCTCCAAGGACCATTACCCCCCTTTGCCCAGCTTCACCATGCCTTCACTTTCAACCTTCCACAACTTGGACTCTGGCGGTGCGCTGTGAGCCTATTTCTGTCCATATGCCCCCCTCTAGAAGACTGCGGTCTTCCAGAGAAATCTGGAGGGATTTCTTTTTAGCTTTTCCAGCAGGAAACGGGTAGTTCTAATTTTGGTGCTTCATTTCCTTTCTGGTCTCTGTACTTCCAAAGGGAAGAAAAAGGGCTTTCTAAAAAAGAAACAGCCTCTTCCTTCCCTGCGCTTTCCGCCTCCAGTTCCCGGCTCCTGCAGCCGCTGGAGCAAAGCACAACCACGACCCGCAGGCTCTGCACACCCAGCCCTGAGCGCAATGCCCTGCAGGAGACAACTCTCCCACACCGGCCCTGGGGCCCAGCACTGCATGTGTGTGTGTGCCTGAGAGCCAGAGCACCTGCACACAGCTGCTGGGCTGTGCTTCCTTCAAGCACAAGCACGCAGGGTGTAAAATTTAACTGTTCTATCGCTTTAGTGGTCGCAAAGCCCGTATAAAAAACAGCGTTTAGCATCTGAGAATGCGCTGAGACGGCTCAGTTAAGCTGCCTTTGATTTAAATGTGATGACCATATGAGTTTAATTAGTATTAATTTTCAAATTTTCTTCAGAATGAGCAGAGCAGCAGAAGCACATTTCTCACCCTCACAACAGGGGTGTCTGAGCTGCTACCACCTATTGCCATATGCTCGAGGGCGACACCGTGGCCTGACAGCATCCCAGGGGCACGGAGCCAAGCAGCACATCACTGTTAAGGTGCGAACATCTCCCAGCCACCCCGCTGTGCGCAGGGACTACAGATGCAAAGCACAGGGCTTACAGGAGATAGGCCCCTGCAAGCCTGGAACGAGCGAGGTTATTGCCCCCAGCACTGCCCTTGCCTCTGCCCACTGCTGCCCCTCACTCCCCGCTGTCTCGAGGCGCTGGCACACACAGGAGCTCAACACATTCCATTTCCACATCGCAAAGCAGGGAGCCACCGATCAGGCGCCGGTCCTGTTGGAAGGGGTTCCCAGCTGTGGCACCGATACTGCGGGACAGGAAGGGAGCAGCATCCCCTGCACACTGCTGGGCGCCCCGGGCAGTCACTGCCAGGCTGGCTGGGTGTACCGAGTGAGTATTTTATTTTACACAAGAGAACAACACAGCGTTGTTGTTTCTGTACAGCATCTGCCTAAAAACAAAGGCAACACCATTATCACGGAAAAGAAATATACAGTCTGACCATTTTAAAAAATATCATTTTACTGATTGATCCAGAAGTGGTTATTTGTTAGCTTGGAGGAAATTTCATTTCCTTTATAAAAGGCTTTTTCTGTGAAAACTCTCTCTTGCGTTTTCTGCTACCGCAGAACCAGGAAGCCAGTCCTAGAGCAGGGAAGGCACTGGTGCTGTTTCATGCTTTTTTTCACCCCTTAACCTCTTTTTTTTTTTCCCTTTTTTTTTCTTTTTAAACTCTGAATGTTGCCTTCTGTTTGGATACTAAATAAAACCAAATGGAAACTAAACAAAACCCCGTGTGCACTGGGTGGCTTATAGAGAACCCCGCATGGACAAACCATCACTCAGTGAGACAACAGTGGACTTCCGAATCCAATTCCCCAGGAGAGGGAACTTCACACAACGTTTGGCATTTTGTTTCTCAGAGAAATAAAAGGTAAACTTAAAAAAAAACCCAAAGGCAGGTCACACAGTGCTTTCCAATATCCACTCAGAGCTCGAGAACGTCGCTGTTCCGCCCTCCGCGCCGGAGCGGCCCGCCTGCGCCAGCATCCCGTTCATGGAGAGGCTGCGCCGCGAGCACAGCCCCGCGTCCTGCTGGCAGCGGCACAGCAGCAGCTCGCCGCCCAGTGACAGCCTGCGCTTGGCTCTGGACGTGGTGGCCGGCAAGGTGAGGAACTTACTTGGCTTGGATTGTGCTCTTTTGTACGTGGGGACCCCTTGGTCAGAGTCGGGGGGACGGCTAGCTAGCTGCAGAGCAGTGGAGTTATTTCTGTTAGTGTTTTGGGACTCGATACTCGTGGCAGCTTCGCTCTGCGGCTCGCTGCTGGGCTTTGGCCCCGGCTTCCGCTTCGGCTTCTGGGCAGCGGAGGCGCCGGCGGCCCACGCGTGAGGAGAGGGCGAGGTAGTGGTGGCCTCCGGGCCGGGGCTGGGCTCCGGCGAGGGTCCGGCGCCGTCGCCTGCGGCCCGGCAGCACTGGGCGGCCTCCTCGTGCCCCACCGCCTGCTTGGAGGCAGACTGGGACAGCGCCCCGCCGCAGCCCTGCACCTGGGCCCCGTTCGTCTGCGAGTAAACGTTGCTGACCTTGGTGGCCTTGTGCTGCCCGTTGTTGTTGCACACCTTGTACCGGATCATGAGGATGATGATGAACACGAGCACCGAGGCCACGATGATCCCGCCGATGATGATAATCATGGTCCCGCCCAGGAACTGGGACTGCATGAAGTGGCAGCGCACGTAGTCCTGCTCGGTGGTGAACTGCGTGCAGCCCACCACCCTGGTGGCGGTCAGCGAGGTGATCCCGTCGTCGTAGATGGCCAAGACGCACAGGTCATACATGGTCCCAGCAGCCAGGTTGTTCACCAGGAAGGTTTTGCTCGTGGGAGGTATCATCCTGGGGGCGAGGACATCGGCGTTAACAAACCCGTGTTGCCGCAGCCCCCTCCCAGCCCTCCCCTGGCAGCGCAGCCCTGCCCTGGCGGCGGGCAGCACCACGCTCCCCCCACACAGCTTGTCTGGGCAAAGCCCTTCCTGAGAGCAACTGTAGATGAAATTAAGAAAACAACAGTTCTGAAAGGTGTGACGGTTACAGCCCAGACTCAGAACAAAGTCACCCAATGCACAGGCCACGCACGCTCACTCCTCCCAAGCATCACCACCACGGCAGCAGGGTGTGCTTGCAGAAACGTGTTTGCAGGCAGCACCGTCCCCATGCTGTCATTAAACTGAGCGCGTTAAGATCCACTTAGCTCATCTAACCTCACAATCCTTCTGCTAATCAGATTACTAAAGAGGATCAGAGGTCTGTTTTGGATTCTTTAGAAATAACCCAACCCACAGCCATTTCCCAATCTGCATTACCCTCTCCACCAGCCAAGAGCCAGGCTGTGGCTAGGAGATGCAGGCTGACAGCCCTCCGAGGAGTGGGCAGCAAAAAGCTTGCACCAGCAACCAGTGTGGAGCAACGGGGAGGGGCTGGGCTGGGCTGGCCGTGCCATACCTGTACACCAGAGAGTCATCGTAAGTGCCATTGTACTGGATCTGGAACATGCGTATTCCAGGTATGTTTCTTTGAAAATTGAATTTCAGCAGAGCAGTAGATGATGTCGCTTCAGCAACAACCACCTTCTTGTCTTGGCTGACTTTTGTATCCCCATTGCTGCTGCTTGCATTGGAGCCCGACTTGGTGGACGTTGAGATATCCGAGGAGCCAGGGTCAGGCTCGTGGATGTGGTTAGTGCTGTTCAGCAAGTGAGGGAGCTTGATTATGTGCAGGTCCACCGTCTGTGTGGCTTCCCCTGCTGGGTTGGAAGCGATGCAGGTGAAAGAGCCCGTGTCCTTCACTGTTGTGATGAGGATGTCGAGTGTACCGTTGTCATATACCACAGACCTTGTTGCGTTAGAAATAAGTTTGCCCTCAGGTGAAATCCAATGAATTGCTGGCTCTGGATCCCCCCGGGCCTTGCACCTCAGCGCTGCCCTTTGGCCCTCCAGCACCCTCAGCTCGTGGGTGTGCCTGGTAATGAGAGGAGGTTCGCACAGGAACTCCTCCTCAGGGATCGACCAGAAGTACCGGCCCGACAGCAGCTGGGGAGAGGCACACGTCTCCAGGTCGTCTTCTCTGGAGAGACGCCTCAGCCACAAGAGCTCACAGTTGCAATGCAAAGGGTTTCCACCAAAGCTTAACGCAAAAGTAGAAGGGCTGATAATTCCTGAGGTTGCCAGTACCTGAGCTCGCTGAAAGAGAGGGTCAGGTGGTAGCTTCTGCAGTTTGTTAGACGTGACGTCTAACCTGGTCATCTTGTGGAGATGGGAGAAGGTCCCCTTAGGAATATGATCAATCATATTGTGGTCCAGACTGAGGGTGTGCAAGCTAACCATCTTTTCCACAGCATCCCAGGGGATCGTTTCCAGGTTGTTGTAAGACAAATCCAATTCCTCAAGAGCTAAAACATCATCGAAAGCTGTGGAAGAAATAAGAGTCAGCTGGTTGTTGTTAAGTATCAAGTGATGAAGATTGGAGAGCCCACTGAACATGTCATTGGTGATCTTAGTCAATCGGTTGCTGTTCAAATGCAAAGCCCGCAAATTGCGCAAGTCAGCAAACGCGTGAGGTGTGATAAAACTGATTGTATTCCTGGACAGCGTCAGGTCCACCAGGCTGGTCATATTGGCAAAGTCTTTCCTCTTGATATTTGTAACAAAGTTGTCTGCCAGCCGTAATTCCACGGTCCTCCTGTCAATGTTTGGTGGAACAAATAAGAGCCCTTTCTTGGCACAAAGGGTCGCAAGGTTTGGAGACAAAATCTGACAAACGCAGCGCTTTGGGCAGATCTGAGCTCTCACTGCTATGCCAATGAACAGCAGAAACAAAAGCAGTTTTTCCATTGTAGATCAGGTGCACGAGCCTGTAAGGAAGAATAAATGTCTGTTAATGCCTGCAAGATCAGCAAGTATATCGTAACAGAAATCATAACAGAAGCAGAGGAAAACTGTCTATGATTAAATCACGAAACAGGTTCACAGAACAGAATTTCTGTCTCATCTCATTACCAGATGTCTTGCAACTGTCCATATCCTGACATGGAGGACAACTGAGATTGCTGTATGTATGCATACACACACACATATATGCACATATACACATCCATGTGCAGGTAACAGTGCGGTTTGGAAGCATCTGGTGGCTCTGTGCATTGCAGCAGTGGTGCCTCTCATCCAGCACCACCATTCCCACCACCGAGCTTTAAACTGACACTCTGGCCTCATGATCTGGAGTTACTTTATGATTATGCCATTTACATACTGGAAAAAGGGATGTTTCATGTACGCTTTACTTGCTGAGCTGAAACCCTCAGCGACCTCTAAATCACGCAGTAGGTTTATAATCATTTCTACTGAACATTTAAGCTCTTAATGCTATTTTCAAAGTAAACCCAGAAGGGGCTAATTTTATGTCATTCAAAAAACAATAATGTGCACAAAGAAAAAGAAATATCAAGAAAGCTCCTGAAAACAGACACCTGAATAATAGTGGAATATGGGCTAATTTCAGAGCATTGCTGTTTCCCCTGATGCCACAGCAGCACCGCGCTCCTATCCCAGAAACTCTGACAGTTCAATTATCCTTATCTTTTACATTGCTAGATCCAGGAACTGCACAGAATATGAAAACAAGGGAGATAACAGACATGCCCAGAGAAGTTAAATGCAATCATCTATCAGCAACTCTGTTAAGAACTCCACAAGGGCTACACGGCCCATTTCTGAACACCCCTTTGCCACCCTGCCTCCACACACCAGTGAACCGACACAAAGCTGCAGCCCACATCTGCCCCCCTTCCAAGAAGTGAGATGTGGGCAGGAGCTGAGCAACACCGTGAGTTCTAGGAGTAAACACCTGGCTGCAGCAGGGCTGCACAAAGGAAATGAAGCAGTCAGCTCCCTTTGGGACTGACAGAATTATTCGTATACCGAATACAGACACATCACAGAAACACAGAATCATAGAATCACAGAACGGTTTGGGTTGGAATCTTGAACCTTCATGGATATTTAATGTCAAAATAATAATTATTTCTCCTGTTGTCCAGCCATCCATGATCCATCTATGCCATGAAAAAGCAGTTGCAGAAAATTGTTGTGAAGATGCCAGCCCCTAAAACTTGCCTGTCAGCACCACTATTTTTTTCTTTTGCTAATACCTTTCTTGACTACCGATCCTAACCAGAGAGCCCTCGTTACAAAAAACAATAAAATAACATAAAAAAGAAGTCTTCAACCATCAGCTTTAACTTAAATAATGATTACATCCACCACCGAAGGCACAGCCTATCATTCCTGTAGTTTTGGGAACCATCCCAAACCCCCTGGTGAAATCCCAGAACATATGGCTTCCTGATGAGTCAATCCATCCACGCTAACGTGCTGCAGGCTGCAGGCACTGCACTCCTGTGGCCCTACTGCCCCTCCAGCACTGCACAGCAGGGCAGGCAGGCTGCCCCGTGGGGCTCCTCCCCGTGGAGATGGCAGCACCTGGATGGGGACTCCCAGCATCCACCCCATGTCTGTCACATGCCAGCAACAGTTGCTGAAGACAATCCGTATTTATCTGACAACTGGAAGAGGATATAAAAACAAATTTCCTTTTTACAGCCAGCTGAGAGTGCAATTTGTGTGCTATACAATCCAACACGGCATCAATTTATATGGGACTCCTTCAGCGAAAACTGGCCATTCTTGGGCTGTAAATGCACCAATTAAATTGGTTCCCTTCCCTGTTATCCTCATGGGAGGCAGCCCGCTCTTGTCAGGAGCTGTAAACTTTTAGAACGAAACCTTTTGCACCTCTGCTGGGGACAATTTTTTGCATTAATTGCAGCAGAAAGCAAATCTCCCGGGCAGCATTTACATACATTTGCAGGGTTACATTCCACACCTCTTGTGTCAGCACTGTACACCAGCACGGTTCTGCAGGTGCAAACAGGACAGTTCTGACCCTGACCAGAGGATCACAGAGCCCTGCAGAAGTAGCCTGCCCCATACATGCCCTGAGCCTGCTGGGACCCCAGGGAGCCACCTCCCCAAGCAGGTGCCACTGTTCTAGATGGGATTTTCTATCTCACCATGCATTTGGTTTACACAAACTCAAAACAGACCTCACAGCCCAGCAGCATCCACAGCTGGACCATGGACCACAAGAGGCCCTGGTCATCCTGGCTTGGGAACACCATCCTCGCTTAGATTTGCTAATACAACACCACTAATTTAGATCTGTAGCTGTGATGAAGGAAATGTGCTCAGCACTTCTCAGATTCAGCCAACACTGTTTTCAGAAGTAGGCAAAATTAAAACAAAGTCAGCAAGGTGCATTTTAACACTGCAGAGGGCAAAGCTTCAGACAATTCTGTAAGACTCAGTTGACACAGTGTCAGAAGCAGATACAAATTCACAGCCTGCACACAGTGACCTCCATTCCTATGCTGCCCAGCATCCTTCCCAGCACCCGGGCTGCCCACACCAGAGGCGACCAAGCCCTCCAACCTCCTGCCTCCATCCTCTGTAGAGCAGACGCAGTAGCACACAGCTCTCCAGCTCAGTCAGTGGGACACGCTGTGCCGACGGCCCTCCATCACTCCTGGTGTACATGACACTGCAAATAAAATGCTGCCTCCCATGGCTGTCATGGGAGCAGGCCTTCCTACCAAAGGTTTTTCACCCTTAATTAATGACTCAATGCTAAAACAAGGCTGCAGCTGCTCTCTGCCACTCTGTGGAGCTGGCACAGAAACTGTGGTGCTCCCTCAGGGAGCTGCCTTGTCCTTTACCTACAGCTAGGACCAGAACTTCCCCACAAGTTAAAATCTGATGGAGGAGGGAAGGGTGACCTCAGACAAAGCAGAGAACCGCCACTGACCTGTGACAGAATCCTCCTGGTAGGGCTGCCTGGTCATAGAGGCAGCTGAAGTGCTGCAAGTGGTGGGGGTCACCAGACCTCGGAGCAACACTGGGGACTGCTTCCTTCCTTTGTATTTCCAGGGACCAGAGAGGGAAGCCCAGAGAGCATAGACAGCGCATCCCATCTTGCACTGAGCAGCAGGCAGCACAGCACAGCACGGTGCAGCATGGTACAGCAGAGCAGCAGAGCAGCACCCAACACACAGTGCCAGCTACCAGCACCCTGCACCCCAGGCAACCAGTCTGGGCAGGGAGCACTCCACGTCCCATGCTGCGCTCACAGTTCATACAACCATGGAACCATTAAGGTTGGAAAAAACCTCTTACGATCACAGAATCATAGAATCACTCAGGTTGGAAAAGATCTTAAAGATCATTGAGTCCAACCATCACCAAACACAACCACACCCCACACCCACCATGCCCTCTAACCAACAAGGGGAAATGGCTTCAAGTTGAGGGAGGGTAGATTTAGGTTAGATACAAGGAAAAAGTCCTTTACATGAGGGTGGTGAGGCACGGGCACAGGTGACCCCGCGGTGTGGTTGATGCCCCATCCCTGAAGACTTTCCAGGCAAGGCTGGATCAGGCCCTGGGCAACCTCATGGAGCTGTGGTGTCCCTGTGCACTGCAGGGGAGTTGGATTGGATGGGCTTCCAAGGTCCCTTCCAACTCTTAAGGATTCTACGAGTCTATGACTTTAACCAGGGCTGAGCTAGCACCAGTATGATCACTTAGCACCCTGCCAGGTCTGTCAGCTCTCCCATGCTGCAGCTTGAGAAATGCTGTTGGCAGGTGCTGGAGAGAATGAAAGGAGCAGACAAATGTGGGTGCATGGCTCCCCTCCAAGCGTGGCACCCACGAGAGGTCTGTCCCCGTGCTCAGATGGCCCAATGAGACCCGGAGGTGCTGCAGGATCCTGCCGTTGCCAAGAACCCAGCCGTTCCTGTAAAACTGTTCCTTACCATTCACAGAGTTTTTGTTGTTTTTTCTTTTAGAAGTGTTAAGTAAGTTGCAATACAAATGTGAGCAAAGCTTAAAATAAAGCTGTGTGTTTGTACAAGTGCTCACAAAGTGCTCTAAAAGCTGTGTGTCTTGCATAGATGAACTGGTATTTGCAGCTGAAGCACAGCACATACATTTATTTCACGTAATAGGAACAGCCAACCCACACACAGCATTGCACTGCACAGCCTCAGCTGCCACCTGTGTGCTCGGCACTGAGCAGCTCACCTGGTTCACAAAGCACTGCCTAAATCTCACTGCTTGCTTAAAGCATCAAAAAGAAAGAAAAGAAAACAAAGGGGTCAATGCTAATTTTCTACCAAGGTATGCAGGGCTAACATCTAGTGCTTGGTGTTTGCAAAGAGATGAGGACCATCAAGCTCCTTGTGTGGTACATGTGATTCGAGTAAAAAAGGCTCTCAGAAGAGAAGTTTTAGATGAGTTTTGTTACAACATTTTTTGAGTTATTCAGCGCCTACAAAAATTAACTGTGAGCTACAGTTGGCTCCAGAACTCACTGCTGTGCAGATGCTACGATGGTGTCTCCCAGCACTGAACAGCCCTGTCAGCCTCCAGCTCTCTGCTCTCACCAGGACCACAGCACCACTGCTTCCCTCTTAATGACCTGAAATGGTTACATGAAGCAAGAGCCCCTAAATTACTGCTCCTATTTCAGAGCAGAGAAGTTCTCCCCTTTAATCACTTTTTCCAGCTACGGAGAGGTTTCTCCCATTGATAAAGCCCATGCAGGAAGCCGTCATGCCTCCCGTTTAGCACTGTGGGATGTGCACCCCAGGAATGGTCACAACAGCCCCATGCCTGGGACTCACGCTCTCCTTGCCCCACACAGCTGGGGCTCAGGTGCCAGGAGCTCCCATGCTTGAATAAAAGGCCTCAATCAGCAGCGTGCTGTGAAAGTGAGTGAG